TATTACATCTCAGCCTCGGATTGGGATCGTATTACATCTCAGCCTCGGATTGGGATCTTATTACATCTCAGCCTCGGAGTGGGATCGTATTACTATGGCGGTAGATGGTTGTCATAATTAACTTATTAGATTTTACAAAGTCTTTTTATTTTGGGTACCATTTACATTGACGAATGGATAGTCACTTTTCGTATTCTGATACTCACTTTTCACATTCGGATAGTGACTTCTCGTATTCTGATACTCACTTTTCACATTCGGATATTTACTTTTCGTATTCCGATACAGTTTTCACATTCGGATAGTCACTTTTCGTATTCTGATACAGTCTTTACATTCGGATAGTCACTTTTCGTATTATGATACAGTCTTCACATTCGGATAGTCACTTTTCGTATTCTGATACAGTCTTCACATTCGGGTAGTGACATGAACATTTGGAGGGGAGGGGAGGGGAGGGAAAGGCTAGTATTCAATAGTCTAGTACCCAGGACTTCACGTTTAGATTGCACGTGGGTTTGTTGGTGTTTTTCCAAGATGGCGGACGTGCTAGTTGGAGCTGGTATTCGATCCTTCTTATTGGACTTACTGAGGCAGATAGAATTTCCAGATCTTTCGGAAGAGACCATTGATCATGTTGTGTTTAGACTGGAACAGATTTCACGTCATTTGTATCGAATAATAGTTATGTGTTATCCTTCAGAAGATTTCTTAATTGAAGCTGTTGGCGATTGTATCACTGGCTTACCATCCGAAGTATCTGTGGTTTCGGATGTGTGGGCTCCCTGTGGTCTCTTGTGGCGTTCGCCCGTTAATAAAATTTTGAATTATCGAGTGATTTCAGCTTCTCAAAAATACATCTTCTGAAGACTTCCTAAGAATTAAATGCCGTCAAAATAAAGTTTAGTCATTCACCTCATGAAATTTGAGTGTTATTTCTTCGTCCGATGCGTTTTAAGGCCGGTTTTTGGCGTTTGATGTGAGCTATGTTTGTGTGTGAGAGAGAGGAGAAGAAAGGGGAAGGCAGGCAACAAAACTCGACCACCGCTCGTTCTAGCCCATCAGAATTCAAATCCAAGAAAAATCTCACAAAAAAAAAAAAAAACCACGGCACGATCGAAGAGATCCTAAGCTATACCTCAGCAGAATTTCACGCTCATAGACAAATTCTTTCTATCACAAAAGGCAGGATTTTCGACCTTTTTCGCCACCGTAAAAGGATAGAGGACTCACTCGAGACGGAAGGAATTCGAAATATGCAGCCTAGTTTGAATCAGCCAATCAGCGCTTCGCTTATATCAACAAATGTCGGCGGAGTTAACCGGAGAATAGCCTGCGTCACATCCGGAATTTTCTTCGTAAATACCGTCTGCGAAACATCGCCAGAAGGCTTGTTCTGGACCCCCCAGTTCACAGCTTTTTTTGGACAAGCATATAACTTGGACAAGCTCGACGAGTCGAGAGCTACCCATAGAACACTCGTCCCATATCAGGCATTTTGTCTGGAGAATTCTCTTGATAACAGCTGCATTGTCACAGGCATTGTCTACAATATCATGAAACGGTCCCAACTACATTTTGTCATGTTGTCCAACTACATTTCACTTTCCAACTCATCTTCCTATGTTACTGCTATTGAATCGGGTGCAAGGGGCCGTCCAAAATATCGTATTATTCTTGCGAGCATAGAATTCCTACTTTCTGAATTTAGATGTGAAACACGAGCCGTGTGGATTGATAAAGATCACTGTCATTAAGGCATCTTTCTTGACAAGACATGGAGAAACACATTTAAATAAACAATGCAGACATGAAATCAAGGTGGTGTGAGGCTCATAGAATTATACTTCATAACACCTTGCCACTTGTTTAAACTATTTATTCGAAAAGTTTTAATATTCAAGCTCGAGGTATTTAGTTAAAGATTTGTATACGTGGGTGCAAATTAGTAATATGTACTTATTGACTGAGTTAGGTCGGGCCGTACGGGAAAATATTTGGCTCGAGGTCATGTCGTACGGACCGAGCGCAGCGAAAATAAATATAATTAAGAAAAAGAAAGTGCGCGGATTCGAGCAGGGCCGGACGGGTTTTTCCGGCTCGCTTACGTCAACCCGTCCGGCCCCCATCACGTGACTTTTTCCAATGGTTTTATTAGAGCGCGCGAGCAGGGCCGTACGGGTCATATGGTAAAGCTTCGTATTATTGGACACGGATTCTAAAGCTATAGTTTCTTGCCGGGCTATTGATTACCCTGACTATCAGGCTTTCCAAGAACAAGTTTATAAAGTTAACATTCTTTAGATATCAGTTAATAAAACAACTTTGAATCGTAAACGATCTCAATCCGAGGCTGAGATGTAATACGATTCCAATCCGAGGCTGAGATGTAATACGATCCCAATCCGAGGCTGAGATGTAATAAGATCCCAATCCGAGGCTGAGATGTAATACGATCCCAATCCGAGGTTGAGATGTAATACGAGTCCAATCCGAGGCTGAGAGCAAAATCAGTAAATTCGTCGAGAATAGGCAGTGTATTCTACTAAGAGCATAGAATATCATAAATAGAAATCAGAGAATAAAGTTTAATCGGAATTCGTTTGTGATTTTGCCACCGTTAGGGGAAAAAGAGGATTTTAGTAGAACGACCTGTTTGACCTCCCCCGGAAATGATTCTGAATCTCAATGAATATCAATCTAACGCTGCCAATCCGACGCTAGCTTCACTTTGGTGTAAGAAACCTGCGAGAAGCTAATTCTGAAGCTTTTTAAAGACTTAATTTCAGGGAAGAAGATTTGTATAGGTAATCACATGGGGATCAAATGCGTGTTTTACAAACGAGTAGTTACGAGGATTTTGACAAACACAAGTAAAATGTATCCCTTATTTCATGAGCTACCAATGTGATTACCAATTGACATTATAAAGGACAAATTATGGCAGATAATTCTGACAGTCATAAGCTTAATTCAGTAGAATTTCCGACGACTTAAAGATAGCCACGCATCAGTATGTTTAGTCATAGTTGGTTTTTATGCAATGATCCTTTTTTTTTTCATTTTTAGAAATACAAAAATCGAAACCATACAAATGTTTTAAAGTTATATAGTTTTTTGAAAAATACTAACGTGCCTGCGTTCGCGCGATCACGCTACAAGATATCACACACGGTACTGGATTTATGTTTATAAATACAACCCTATATTACATAGCATGAACGACAAATGTTCTATGGTAAATGGATGTGACCCCGAAAAAATCGAATAGTGACACCAAATGTTTTATCTGCTCAGCCAGAGTTGATTCCAAGAAGCGTATTCGTATGTTTAATCCGGCTAATGGTAAAGGTTCAAGTACCATTGACCTTCAAGGACTTATTTGTACAACTCTTGACATTGTTGTATCTATTTACGTTAATTCTGATGTCGTGATAAGTATTAAATGCTAGAAGTCCCTTAAAGTTTTAAAGAGCAGAAGACCAAGTACATGAAATAAAGAGTGAGTTGAAGAATGTTTACTAAGAGCATAATGACAAACGTGTGAAGAGACTACAACGCACCGACGATACGCCTGAGCCAGTTAACAAAAAAAAAAAAGAATTTGTCTTTGGAGAATCTACTGCTTGCACTTCTTATAATTACTTCCTGTTGAAGAAACGACCTGCACAGATAACAGCTGACGACAAAGCACAGTCCAGTTTAACAACGATGTGTCCTTTCCAGTTTACAATGTATTCGTGCCAATAAAAACTCCAACCCCCAGGCGGGAAAAACCAGTACCCAACTCAAACACGACGATTACCGTGAATGATACCAGTAAGACTGTCAATAAAAGATTGCTTAGTGACCTAAAACCTGCTGGAAAAGTTAATGGTCCCCCATCACGGATCGCCAAAGCAGTTATAAAATCCAAAACGCTACGAGCCGAAGTCATTGCGCAATTTCTACGTGCCGTCTCAGCCTTATTTTTCACAAGGTACCAAAGTTGTACCAACCATCACAGCCTGACTTGGGAAAACAGTGGCTCTTTTTTGCGTGTTTTTTTTTTTTTTTTTTTTGTTTTTTGTTTTTTGTTTTGTTTTTGTTTCATTAAATAGAATAATTGTTAAACAGTAATGATGTTAAACTATTCATATTCAATTTGCTGTTGCGTTTTTTTAGACTCCACTTGGAATCATATTCAAGAATGAAACATGAATAAAGAAATATTGACCATTCTACATAGCTCTTATTAACCGAGTGCGAGGTCAGTGTATCGTAAGTTATGGACCAAGTTTCTTCCACTGCCTTATGGCCCACGCGCCAAAGAGGGTCCAATAACTTACGGTACGCTCCAAGCAAACTAGGTTAATAAGATATTTTAAATATGGCAAGGCATCGAGAGTAAAAAGAGGCGGAGCAACAAAAAGTAAAATTGACAAACGCATGTCCAACGAGAACTGCATCTGAAGGGCTTCATGTACGTGCCAAAAGTCATGTATGTTTAATTCGCTCAGAAAGAGAGATTTTAGCTTATTTTCGAATGAATTTAGCTATAGTTTAAAGTTTTCTGAAATACTTGCTAACGAAAGTGAGACTTTCTTTTGCAAAACATGCGAATGCAAAGTAGAAAAAGCATCAAAAACAGACCTCAAAAACTCAACATGATCTTGAGAAGGAAACTGTAGAAAATGCCGATCGAATTCCTTGCCTTCTGCCTTCAAAACTCGGTCCGTACATACAAAAGCTATATAGTGTTTGACCATAGTTAGAAAGACTACAAAATTCTTTGTATATCAAAGATATCTATCAAAATGTAGTGATCTCTCGAACATTTGTAGTAAATTTCTTAGAAATTGTCCGAAGCTCGACCCGATAGTCTCGTTTTGATGCTACGTTCATCACGATACCGCTGGTTTGTTGGGGTGCCGTGCTCATCTACGATAAGAGCTATTGGATTGGTAAACAAAAGACTTGTTCAAACTTACATAACAATAAACTCATGACGTCAATTGGTCGTCAGGGCAACCTCAAACAATACCTACTCGTCATTTTATTGATGAATAATTAATGTGACTCGTCCTGCTCGTCACTGTCCCACCATTTTATGGTAATAAGTAATAAAAATAATTAAATCCACCGCATATGATACACGGAATGCGTGACGTCACAGAACATAATTAAATCCTCCGCAAATATACTCGAATCCACCTCAAAGTTAGTAAATCCACCCCGAAAAAAAAAAAAAAACCAGGCTTGTGCGGTGCGGCCTATACTACTTAAACAAGTGCTCCAAACGAGGTACAGGAAAACCGTGGTTCAAGAAAAATGCAGTCGGAGTAAATAAGTTGAATGGACTAGTGAAGACAATGGCAGAAAAAAGCTGGTATTCCGACTACTCAACTAAATTTGAAAAAACTACAGTGGGCGCAAGATGATGCAAACTTTGACGAACAAAAACATTCCGTCGACAGACATCATTCAACTTTCAGGCCACAAAAATCTACAAAGTATAAATAATTACGCTATTGTGTCTGAAATACAGCAAAATGAAATGTCTCGCTCACTTAGTGGCCTCACTACAGGAACAGTAAGTAAGGAAAGTAGTTCATGTAATGTCGTAGACATTAACAAAACAATAGTTTGACAACGTTTAATTCTGCCACAAACTCTGTTGACAGTAGACATGGCCAACAAGCATTGTCGCTGTTTTCTGGTGCCGTTTCATGGCGGTCAGTTTAGCGTTAAGATTAACAGTCTTAATCAGTCGCCAACATTATCTCAAGAGGTTGAAAGTCTCACGGCAAAACGATACAAAAGAATAAAAGTGCTGAGTGATTCTGACTCAGACTAGTTAGAACTCTTACGTGTTTACTGCTCGTTTTCAGTGCTTTTGCAAGTCTAGTTGCAAATCCCATATATATCATGATTGACTTGCAGCTAGTTTATTTTTCTCGTATTAGTCATTAGATTATTTTTTGATTGTTTTTCACTTTAATATTGTACAAGCACACATCTCTGATCTAACGGTACTTATATTTACAATCTTATATCACTATTAGAAAGAGACATTTCTATTTCAGTTAACCAATTGTTCAAGGTTCAATAATGTTTTTCTCGCAACTCCAAGTTGAAAAAAATCTTTACTTGTAATATCTCAGTACTTCTAAAATAAATAAATTACATCATGGTTAGTTCGCTTGTACGGTTTTTATTCACTCGTTGTGAAAAATCAAACTCACTTCCTCGAAGACTCGCTCGTTCGTTCATGAAGCAATCTCTGTATAGTTCTCAGTTCCAGCGGTCAATAAAACACAATTTCTAGGAATTGCAAATGTTGATAAAAGTCGGAACAAAAAAACCTGTTGACGTCATGCTTCTTTAAGTATTGACCCTTGTGTTTGAATTGTCATTTTATTTTGAAGGTTACCTCAACAACCCCCAAGCCACAAAAAAAGCAATTGATAGTGATGGCTGGCTGCACACAGGAGACATTGGTTACTACGATGACGACGAACATTTTTTTATAGTAGACAGAATTAAAGACGTTATCAAATTCAAGGGGTTTCAGGTACTAAAATGTTTTGTTGCACAGTTGGAAACAGTGTTGAAAACACAACATCTATCTGATTTCAAAATTCCGTCTTAGTCGACTTCTGCATAAGTCAGCTGAAATTTTCTGGAAATCCTCTCTAATTCCAGTAGAGGACAAAAGAAATATACTGAAACAAAGCGCTAATAAACTACGAATATTTTCCAAAATCTTGCCAAACGCAAGACATAAGTATATATTTGAATCAAAGCTAAATCTAACAATGACGAATCTTTAAAACAATAAATAATGGAAATGACATAAGTAAATAATGACTGTTACTCCGATTAGGGACTAGCTTCCGAAACGCAGTTACATAAACCTCTTTTCACAACACGGTGTTTATACACTGATATATGTCATTCCCATGATTTATGCTTTAAAGTCAATTCAAAAAACTTTGTCGTCGACCAACTCAAGCCCATGCGACTGCACCACAGAAATCCCTGAAGCACTAAATTGCTTAACTTTATCTGTTTAGCTTTGCTTCAGGTTTAAGGACCCTTAGCTGTCGAGCGGGCAGCGTTGAAGGAGACTGTTTTACTGCCTTAATATTTTTGAACTAGACCTATCCCGAATTCACTTGACTGGTCACGAAACAATGGTTTCAAGTCGAGGTTGAACTTGATGAATAAAAGAATCAAGTCCAGTCTCAACTTCAAACCATTGTTTCGTGGTCAGTCAAGCGAATTCGGGATAGGTCTATTGGGGAATGAATTATAACTACTATGTTTTATAAACTCAAAGACATATACATCTAATGGGTTGTTGCTCATTGTTATTATCTTATTACTAGCAGGAACAATAAATTCAGAAGGAATGTTTAACCGCTTCAGTGATTGTTACCCATCCTCCCTTCGGTCAAGTTGCGTAGGCTTGAGTTGGTCGATCAGAAATTTTTTTGAATATAGACGCAGCTAAAACTAGTATTCTCGCTAGATTGCAAGCCTTAAGGTTCACGTAACCCCTGATACAATACAGTAATTTATATACAATACTTTCAGTATTTATTCTACATAAAGTGGATAGTTGAAAGGTGAAATATTTCTTCATTTAGATGTTGCGTCTTTAGGTTATGAAAGATGTTTTTTACATTAACTTACAAATTTCTCGCGCGCTGATTGGTTATTTTTTATTATCAATAAGAGGACAGACAGATAAAGCTGACGTCAACGAGCGCGCGCGCTTTTTCCGTTGGTTGTTTTGATCGCTAAAAGTGAGAAGTTTTTATCGTTTTTGTTATTGTTAAAAACAAATAGACATCAGATTTTTATGTGTCTGTCCTCTTATTGACAATAAATTTCGTCATCACATTGTCAAATTAGTATGCGGATCCACTCGGCTACTCCTCGTGAATCCACACTACTTTGACAATGTGATGACGTAATTTATTGTCAATGAGAGGACAGACACATAAAAAACTGATGTCTATTTGTTAAACTGACTGTAAGCAAAATTCAAATGAATAAATATTGCGCCAATCAATTATTCGCTTTTGGTAGACGTGCATAATTTTTTAAAATTTTCGATTTTTCTATTCTTCATGGCCCCGGTAACGGTCATGACAGATAATCGCTCTTAAGTATTCTAAAAAGAGTTACAGTGAAACTACACCAACGAAGGCCATCCGAACAATTTTTTTTACAAATTTGCCAATCAAACGTGGGAATCTGAAGAATAGAATTGCTACAAATCGGACAAATATCCATTGTTTTACATAGCCTGCAGAGCAGACGATCTCGCGATGGGTTTAGGGCTGTCCACAAGTTGCTCCAAAAACTCAAAAATGTTGCTCAAAATTTGCCAAAAAGTTGCTCAAAAGTTGCCCCAAACTCTAAAAGTTGCCAGAACACTGTTCACAAAATCTTCATTTTTTTACTATATATTGATATATATTTTGAGATTAATAATATAAGAAACTATACAGACAGTAATTCACAACGTTTCGCCGAGGTCATGCTCATTATCAAGTGTGTTTAATGGAACTAAATCTTGACTATTTATAATTTTACATATAAATGAATTGTCTTTTTTTAACTTGAACATACAATATTTTCTTGTCTTTTTCAAAAATTAATGCAAAATGTCAATATTACTTGACTACTGTTGTGCACTGTTAACTAGCGAAGCATCCGTATGATTATATATAATGGCACAAGACTAGGGATAATTCATCATCTTCAGTCTTCTTCTTCCGAATCACTGGAGCATGCATCTGCCATTTAGTTTTAACAGTAAAACCGCTGACTTTCTGATCGCATGCAAAGATTACCACTGGCAACCCCTGTTTAAATGGTACAAATGAGCTATTTTTGAAACTTTGAACGACAAGAAAACAACTTATATTCTGTTATTGGGTCTGATAATTTGCTAGAACTCGAGGAAAATTACAAACAAGAGTAATATTTGCTCAATATTAAAAAAAAGTTGCCTATATGGGAAAAAAAGTTGCCCGCAATTGAAAAAGTTGCTCGAAATCGTCAAAGTTTCTCAAAAGTTGCCAAGCAACTTGTGGACAGCCCTAGATGGGTTTGAGAAAAAATAGGGGTTTTGGGGTTCCTGTTTCAAATACGTGCCCGCGTGAAAAATGGGACCTAGTAATAAAAGGGAACGTGGGGGGAGGGGGAGGGGAATGAAGGGAACGCCTGCCATCAGTACTTGTTATTTTGAATCCATTGAATAACAATGGCGGTTTTCGATTCTTGCAGTTCCAGGGTGTGGAACTTACTTACTCCTTACTTAATCGTTGATAAGGTAGAAGTTTGAACGGCTTTACTTTTGACAAAGTTATACAATTGGCCTAACTTTCTTATTTTCTTATATTGTCTCAAATATCGCCAAGGACAATCCCCAGAGAATATTTTCTTCTAGAAGGCTTGAACAAATTTTCAAATGACAGATATCCCTGTTTTCTTTGGTTACTTGGAACTCAGAAATTTACTTTAAAACAACAATTACAAAATCGACAATTTTCATTCGTGCTAGCTAGCGGTAATAGAATCGCTATAGAATTATTGAATGTTTTGACGTTTGATTGTTCATATCAGAAGTGGTCTTTCACTTCCGTTAAATTCATCTTCAATCGTAATTGGTTACTTTTTGACCGCTAGAGTTTCTATGACGCATATCTAATTAGGAGGCGTTTTTGAAAATAACAAAGGCTGCTGGCAGGCGTTCCCATCTCCTCCTTCCCGCCCCTCCCCCTTCGTTTATTTTTTACCCGCGTTTAAATTTTCGCTAGTTCCAAATTTTCAAAGTTTCCCCAAAACCCCGATTTTTCCCCAAACACACAAGTACTCCTGCTAATGGCAAGCTATGGTTTACACGGTTTAGAAGACTGTAGACACCTTTGTTGTCGAATATAGACCACTTGTATTGATTTCCTAGAGGAATTGTTCTGGGGGAACAAAACAATAGGGCGTATTTTCTTATGCAAAAAATCCATTGTTTTGTCCCCCAGAACAATTCCTCAAGGGGTCTATAAACGTGCAGTCGCATAGCAACATGGCGATAAGATCTAACAGTGTCAGCTTGATAATATCGTTGTCTGGAAAAAACAAACTGTAATCATAAAGACTGTGTTTTATAGGGTTTCTAATCTGCTTTCCTGTTGTATTTGGGTCATACTTTACTATTTTTCTATATTTTTTGGTGACACAAATCACTAATGCGCGAAAAAAATGTATTACAATCTCTTGTTTATCATTTAGTTTTGCCAATCTGAACAACCGAAGAATATTCAAACTTGTCGCTAATCTAGTGTCTAAATACTCAAACACTATTGGATAGTTTGTAGAAAATTTGTCGAGGTAGCCTTGGTTGAAGTCGTTGCACTGTAAAAACAAATTTTCAATTCGACAATTTATAAACTTAAAAAAACAAAACAGTTCAATTTAATGTGTTTTTTTTTTTGCCTCTCTATTAAATCAATCGTAGATTAGGTTAGCATTATTTACAATAGGTCGTAGGTGTCATCCGTTGTGTATCGCGCGGGCACAAAATTCTGATCATAGTGGCCATGATGACTTAGAGAATTTGGATCATTGGTATTTAAACAACTAACATATTTGGTAAGCTTTAAACATTTTTTCTTCAGGTTGCACCAGCAGAAATAGAAGCAATCTTGTTGACTCATCCTAAGATTAAAGATGCAGCTGTTATTGGAGTGCCCAACGAAGAAGCTGGCGAACTGCCAAAGGCGTTTGTTGTGAGAAGTGAAGGTATAACTAAACAAGACATTTTACATTTTGTGGCGGTTAAAGTTGCCCCTTATAAAAGGCTAAGAGGTGGAATCGAGTTTGTAGAAAGCATCCCAAAGAATGTTACCGGAAAAATCTTGAGACGTGCACTGGTAGCATTTAAACACAAATTATAGCTTTAGCGATATCTACTGGGTGACAGTGTTGGTTCTGTGAAAGATCGGTCATGAGAGTTGCCATGAAAAACAATTTTTCCTGCAAATGTCAGATTTGCTTAAACTGTTTGAGAAAGCAATTTTTTTTCAACGGATTAGCCTATGAAAACTTTCTTCAGTGGCACCTGATTAATCGGGAATGCGTGAAAAACCTTAACTTTCAAATTTAATCTTAGTGTTATATCTTACGTTTACTTTTTACTAACATTAATTAAGAAACAATCCAAATTTTAATTTTAAGATAAAGAAGATGTGTATGATAAGGGTCTAGGCTGCTGATATTATACGATTATTGGATGAGGTTGAGCATGTTATAGTAACTTATCAAGGCCAAGGACGTGTTATCTGCCGAAGCCGTAGGCTGATAATTGAAAAATTAAACGAGCCTTACCTGTAAGGTGAAGTTTGATTGTGATTCTACCAAATCCAGGGTGACGCGCTGAGGGTTAACATGAGATGCACACGTGCTGCCGTGGATGCTCAGAGTTTTAAATGTTGTGGACACGATATAGAGAAAAAAACGGGTAAAAAGCACGGGTGGGAAAGCAGAATAACTGTAAGGGAGGGCATGTTAACCCTCAGCGCGTCACCCTGGATTTGGTAGAATCACAATCAAACTTCACCTTACAGGTAAGGCTCGTTTAATTTTTCAATTCTACCAAATCACGGTGACGTCACTTCCGGTTAACATGAGCCTTTAAAGCAATTATTGTGGACACAACCACTATTGACAAACAAAACAAAACTTTATTATGACAATAACAATTTATCTTAATACCGCTGCAGCAAAATCAGTAAGCACAGGTTTATTATAGAATGTCTGGAAAGTTGAAACTTGAGACCATCCTATGTGCTTCAATATTTCATCAGTTGGAATCATCTGGCTTGCTTTGGATGTAGCAGCTGCTCTGGTGCTGTGAGCCTTGAACTTTGTTGTATCAACA